ACTACCAAGTGGGCAATTGCAAGGTGCTACTATTGTGTGTGTGTGGCTGCTGAGCCCAGCTTGGTGACAGAGTATCAAATGAACAGGCAACCCCTCTCTCCAGGATATTAAGCTTTTGCAGAGAGCACACAAGATCCACCTCTGACCCCATATTGTTTCTTCCCAGACTTGTCTCATGGGGAAAACTGATAAGAAGAAAAAAAAAATCTGTAGTTATTAAAGTGATGGCGCATAGCTAGCCGGCCATGCAGAACTGAGGCAGTCCATCATGGTACGTCTGCTGGATTAAACATGATGCAGCCGGTAAAAATGATTAGCATGCCAAAGTATCTCGTTCTAGACAGAAACAAGAAAACATTATATACACAGCGGTGCCCAGTTCGGTGTGGCCTAGCGGCTAAAGTCCTCGCCTTGAACACACCGGGATCCCATACGAGCACTGGTTCTAATCCCGGCAGCTCCACTTCCCATCCAGCTCCCTGCCTGTGGCCTGGGAAAGCAGTCGAGGACGGCCCAAAGCCTTCGGACCCTGCACCCGTGTGGGAGACCCGGAAGAGGCTCCTGGCTTCGGATCGGCATAGCATCGGCCGCTGCACTGTCACCTGGGGAGTGAATCATCAGATGGAAGATCTTCCTCTCTGTCTCTCCTCCTCTCTGTATATCTGACTTTGTAATAAAAATAAATAAATCTTGGGCCTGGCGCGGTGGCGCAAGTGGTTAAAGGTCCTCGCCTTGCACGCCCGGGATCCCATATGGGCGCCGGTTCTAATCCCGGCAGCCCCGCTTCCCTTCCAGCTCCCTGCCTGTGGCCCGGGAAAGCAGTCGAGGATGGCCCAAAGCTTTGGGACCCTGCACCCGCGTGGGAGACCCGGAAGAGACTCCTGGCTTCGGATCGGCATAGTATCGGCCCGTTGCGCTCACTTGGGGAGTGAATCATCGGACGGAAGATCTTCCTCTCTGTCTCTCCTCTCTGTATATCCGCCTTTCCAATGAAAACATAATAAAAATAAATCTTTAAAAAAAAAAAAATAAATAAATAAATAAATAAATCTTTTAAAAAAAGAAAATGCATTTGCAAGTGAACTTAGAAGAAAAACAATGGAATATTAGCAAGTATTATATCTGGTTCTGAAATTAGTAGTAATTTAAAAAACTTTTTTGCATTTTCCAAGTTTTCTATTTTAATTTTTTTAAGATTTATTTTATTTTTCATTACAAAGTTAGATACACAGAGAGGAGGAGTGACAGAGAGGAAGATCTTCTGTTCAATGATTCACTCCCCAAGTGAGCACAACAGCTGGTGGTGCTGCGCTGATCCGAAGCCAGGAGCCAGGAACTTCTTCTGGGTCTCCCACATGGGTGCAGGGTCCCAAAGCACTGGGCCTTCCTCGACTGCTTTCCCAGACCACAAGCAGGGACCTGGATGGGAAGTGGAGCTGCCGGGATTAGAACCGGTGCCCATATAAGATCCCGATGCATTCAAGGCGAGGACTTTAGCTGCTAGGCCATGGTGCTGGGCCCCCCAAATTTTTTTTTTTAAATTTGAAAGGCAAGATGGCAACCTGAGACATCAGCTCCCTAATGTCTCCAGGGAGTCAGGTGACCAGAGCAGAGGTGCCGTGCCAGGAATGACAGTGCAAAAGATGGGTTTGTGTGGTTCTTGCCCGTGTCACACACCTGGAAAAGACCGGGGCAAGCAGCACAGGCAGGAACTGGAGTTTTCAATGGAAAAAAAATGTTCAGGAATAAGGGCCTGACCTTTTGCCTAGCATTGTGCCAAGAACTTCTTTCAGGTCTCTGATATGGGTGGAGGATCCCAAAGCTTTGGACCCGGAAGAGCTCCAGCTTCGGATTTGCGCAGTAACAGCCAAAATCTCCGACATGGGTGCAGGGTCCCAAAGCTTTGGGCCATTCTCAACTACTTTCCCAGGCCACAAGCAGGGAGATAGAGGGGAAGCAGGGCCGCCAGGATTAAAATCTGTGCCCATTAGGGATCCTGGTGCATGCAATGCAAAGATTTTAGCTACTAGGCTACCACGCTGGGCCCTAGAATAAATTTTTAAAAAGTAATTTTGGACCCACGCTGTGGTGTAGTGGGTGAGGCCACTGCCTACAGCAACACCAGCACTTATATGGGTGTTTGTTTATGTCTTGATTGTTCCGCTTTCTTTTTATTAAGATAATTAAAAAAATTTTTTTGATGATTTTTACTTAGTTAATTAGGGTGCGAAGGGTCACGGGCTACAGGAAGGTGGGTGAGACCAATATTTCCACATTGTCTTTTTTTCCTTCCTGTATCTGGGGGAAAGGGGAAGATAAGGAGAGAAGCCACACCCACCCTCCCAAACACCTCTGCACCCTGGGATGGAGGACAGCCAGCCGACACCACCCCATGGTCCCCGATATGGGGCATGCTCTGAAGATCCTGCTTAAGAGGTTTCGATAGTTCAACAGTTCTGAATTACTGCCAGTCTTGCCACTCCAAGTACAATGAAATCTCTTTAGAATGCACCGGTTGACTCAGTCTCTATTTGCCCAGGTATTCACTGCCAACACTTGATCGGGATGATCTATTTACTCCACCTTCCGTCATGGTGGCAGGTGTCCTCTGCAGGCTCCAGCGTACTGCCATATCCTCTCTGTGCATTTCAATATGCCACCGCTCACCCAAGCCACCGGGAGGCCCAGCTCTGACACATGCACTCCGTGGTCAGAACACGGACCCTGCAATTCTCTCCATGACTGGGGTTCTAATGCCAGTGATTCAGTTGGGGGGATCCCCAAAGAAACTTCATCTGAGGTGATCCCACACCAGATGCTGTGCTTGCCCACACAGGATGTGACGCAGTTCCTCGCCCCAGTCAGCTTATGCATATGCTGCTGGTTGCAATTGCTGGGTCAGTTCTGTTTCCAGCCCTGTCTTCTACACAAACCAACGGGTGTTGCAGCCTAGTCCAATCCTGCCCACCACACACTCGGCTCACATACACCAGTGGCAGCTGCAGCCTAGCCAGAGTGATCTGCAGGAACCCCCACCAGGCCTGCCACCTGCCCTGGTTCCTCTGCTTGCCAGTATGTACAGCTGACTGGTCCAGTCTGTCCCACATCCCATTCAGCTCTTATATGTATCAATGGGCAGTGAAACCTGGTTCAACCCAACCAACCAAATAACCCAGCCCACACACATCCCGGCGGGTACCCCTGGTTCTCACGCTCGCCAGTTGGAGTGGCAACCCAAGTGGAAGGTGCCCACTCTTTCCCTACTGGGCCCACTCTCACTCCTGGATCCTGCACTCTCCAGGTGGTTCTGCAGTTTACCTTGACAGAATTAGCCCCAGTGCCAGCCTCTGCCAGCCAACCCACACCCACTCTGGCGTATGCATGCACCACAGGAAGGAAAAGTCAAGCCAGCCCGGCTTTTCCTTGATCCAGAGACAGAGAGATGTAAGCCTACCCTTCTGGGACTCCAGCATCAGGGGGCGTTCCGACATGAGGGTCATGAGGGTAAGCGGCTGGACGGGAGTGTGGTCAGGGAGCCCCTGGCCGCCTCCCTCTCCAACAGGAGTCCTGGAGAGCACAGGACAGTCCTGCTCCCAGCCCGTCTTCAGGAGCAGCAGAGACGGGGAAGACTTCTCTGCTACCTCAACAAGTGCCTCTATTTGTTTCGTTTTCCCTGCAAAAGGGGCAGCAGCATGAATCCCGGTTTACAGTAATGTCTGGGGGTGTGGAAGCACAAACGCTCATCCGTGTCCTGCAAAGGATCACAGCCATCCTCCCCGGTTCCCACTAGGCGGCAGCAGAGAACCATTCAGCGGCCGGCAAAGGCAGGGGACGTGGCTGCAGCCCCACAGCGCAGGGTCCGAGGAGTAGGGGAGACGGCCTCCTAGCAACGTCCACCCTAAGCTAGGCATGCTCTGCTCTGGCTACCACGGTCTCCTACGCGTTATCTCCTTTAGCTCCCACGGTGAACGCAGGAGCCCACTGGCCTTCTCTTCTGGATGCACTCACCGTAGCTTCCCGAAGTCTGTGATGGGCCAAAGGGCACACGGCTTGAACAGACACAATGTGGGGCTGGCTGGAACAGCTCCTGCTGTTAGTCTGGCTGGGGAACATGGAAGGGTTGAGAGGTCAGGGAGAGCCTGGTGGTACGGAGGCCACTGGAAGACAGGGAGAGGAAACCCAGCCAGGAGCAAATTCGGAGTGGCTTCCAGATCAAATGTGAGGTTTTATCTTATTTTCTAAGATTTGTTTATTTTAGTTGGAAAGGCAGATGTACAAAGAGAGACTTTCCATCCCCAGATGGCAGCAACAGCCGGAGCTGAGAGCCCATCTGAAGCCAGGAGCCAGGAGCTTCCCTGTTGCACGGGCCCAAGGATTTGAGCCATCCTTCACTGCTTTCCCAGGCGGCAGCAGGGGTCTGCATGGGAAGTGGAGCAGCTGGGATATGAACCAGCGCTCAAATGGGATCACAGCGCTTGCAGGGGGAGGATTAAACATTTGACCCAGCATGCTAGGGCCCAAGGGCTGTTTCTACCCCTTGAGGTGGAGATGAGGAAGAATACTGGGAACCCAGTTAACTCTGGGTTTCACATAAATGAAACATTTATTTATTTTTAGTGTAAGAGTGTCTTGTGGATTTTTAGCATTAAAATGTTGCACGGAGACACGATTATACTGAACATTTGTTCATTGTTTTGAAATTCAAATTCCGCTGGCCAGTCTCCATTTCCTATGGCAACTCTATGAAGGAAAGACCAGCTTTTTAAATAAATGACTTCCGCCAAGCCCTGGGATTAGGAAAAACACAGGTCACAGTGATCCCCCCGCTCCCCCCCAGCGAGGAATGAGTTTGGTCTCTTTCATGCCAATTAAGCAATCACAGACCCTGTCAGGAATCCAACCCCATGACTATCATGGGACTCGAGACCAAGGAAAAACTAGATTAAGAGGTCTCTCTCTCTCTCTCTCTCTCTCTCTCTCTCTCACACACACACACACACACACACACACCACGCACGCACGGGTCGTCGGCTGCGCAGTGTTGCCATCAGGGAAGGTAAGCGTGTTTATTTCTTATGCTAAGCGGGTCCTGCTGTTACAGAGCAGCGTCAGGGGATTCTCGGCCCGTGGTCGTGAACACTCGATTGCCCAGGACGTCCCCACCCCGCTCCCCCGCGATGTTTTTAAGCCTCTAACTTTGGGTGGGGGGCGTGGCGCTCCTCCTTGGAGACCCTCTTCGGGGGCCTCCGGTAGCGCCAGGAAGCGAGGTGAGTGTTCAGGGCGCAGGTGAGACGCGTCCTGTTGGGGTTAGGCGCGTTCTCCCGCCGCCTCAAGGGCGGTCTCTGGAGTGGGATGAGCAGCGGGGGGCTTTGCTGGCCCTTCGCCATTTGCAAGGGCAAAAAAAAGTTTGAGGCGGAAATGGACACAAGTAATTGAATGTCCAGTTGACTTGCGCTTCTTGTCTGTGACTGAGTTCACTCTACCCGAGACACATAGCGAATTCAACCATCATTTCTTTTTTACCGCCGGGAAGGGCAGATGGCACCAATCAAGCCCTTTTCCACCCCCTGAGGAAAGGGGTTGCCTAGTGAAATTCCCAGTCGGCTCTTTCACTCGTCCCTGTCGTCTGAAATCCGAGCTGGGTGCAGGAGGCTCCCACCTTTGAAATTCACCGGGGCGTACCTGGTTGGTTTTTAATGGGCACACTTGGATCATGGCCATGGCCATTTGCAGGTGCTATAGTTCATCTTTTTTTCCCTTAAATCCTAGCCATAGAGCTTGAGCTCTAGAGAAATAGAAATTGGTTACAGGAGAGAGGAAAACAAATCGTAAGACGTAAGCTGCTCCAAGGCTTTCTGGGCTGATGTTGGGTGTGAGGTTTATGGGCAAGCCAGGCACCTGCCAGGGCTGGCTTCCTTTGTTGGCAAGTGGGAGTGAGGATGCGGTGGTTGGCCACCTTGCTTCAGGCACTCATGGTGAGGCTCAAGCTACATGTTACGTTATCATGGGCGGCGGTTTGTCCTGAGATCAATAATAGAGGGCCACTATAAAGGCTCAATGGGCCAAACCCTCTGCCTGCAAATGCCAGCATTCCATAATGGCACCAGTTCAGGTCTCACAGCTCCACTTTCTCAGCCAGCACCCTGTTTATGGCGTAGAAGAGCAGTTAAGGATGACTCGAAGCCTTGGGTCCCTCACCCACATGGGAGACCCACAGACGCTCCTGGGCTCCTAGTTTCAGATCAGTTAAGTTCTGGCCATTGTGACCTTTTGGAAAGAACCAGCAGATGGAAATCTTTCTTTCTCTGTCTCCCTGTAGATCTGCCTTTCCGATAAAAACAAACAAATAAATATATATGTATATATATATATAAAATAATACTTATGAGGAGAAATAACTCTTGGATTATTCACTGTTGCCCTGGGTCAAGGAAGGCAGCGAATAAACAAAAATCCATTTTTAATGTTTTTTTTTCCATACAAGATTAGGGTATAGAGTCAAACTGAAATCAAATACTAAGTCAATTTGAAAGTCTTCTTTTTGGTTGGCAGCTGCTTCTTCAAGTTTGATTTCCAGGTAGCAGAAAACGGCAAGAAAGCAGAGCTGCTTCTCAAACTCATGAAACTAGTGGAAACTAGGTGCAAATAATTCACAGGGAATCCAGTCTTAGCTGAGCGTGGCTCCCCTCTGGTGAGAATGCATGCGGGTCTTTGGGATAAGATGAGCAAAAACGCTTGGGTTGTGCTAAATCATGCCCATGTGCCCCCTTCTGACAGGTGTCCTCTGCCCTGACCCCTCATGATGCCAACGAAAGAGGCTCACTTCATCTACAGCTACTCCAGGAAGGGGCATGGTCACGCACACATCACAGTGGAAGAGTAAGTTCTACCCAGACCAGAGGTGTTCCCAGTTTGCTGTTTGCTGCCACAGACTGCTGGTGTACCCTAACACATGACTGTCTACCCCACTGCTTCATGTTTGTCACACTCTGTAGACAGCTGAAAGCCTATAACAGCGTGAGGGATCCCCGTGGTCTTTCAAGGGCTCTTCTGAGGCCAAGCAGGCAGGGGATAAGGATGGTAAAAAGCTGAGTCTTACCATTTTTTTTTTCCTGCATTCTTGGCTTTTGGGCCTTCATGGTAAGCTTCCAGTTTGAAAAAACAAGCAAGCAAAGATGGCTGTCTCCGATCCAGATGCCTCTTTAACTCAAGCATGGTCTTGTCTTCCCTAGTCAGGCTCCTGGGTGGTCCGCAGGCCATGAAAAATGTTGTCCAAGAGTCAGTGAGGATGAAGGCAGGTGTGGGTGACACCCCCCTGCAGACTGACCCCCGAGTGAAGATGGTATCACAGCCTTTGTATCATCACTTTATCTGAAAAGAAGAGCAGTTTGTTCTTGTGAGTTGGTTACATGTCAGTGTCGTGTGATGGAACATTTCCGAATGTTTACCGAATTTACAGATGTGCTAGGTGCTTTGCTAATCGCAAACATTGTTCTTGCACCATCCGGAGCGGGGAGTCAGGCATGAAGATGCCATTGCTAGAGAGGGCACATCAAAGCTGCAGGCACATTCTCCCTGCCAGTGCGGATGCCAACAGGACAGCAAGGAGCTGCCCTTTGGACCATCTTGTCTGTGCTCTGTTTGGAACCCTTTGCAAAGAGTTATGGGGAGTCTCTACTGGGAGCCAGGAGAGGATCCAGCAAGACGTAGAACTCAGCGAAGGTGCTGACTTCGTGCTGGGGTTTTTTTTTCTCAGAAGGCCCTGTGGGATTTCCTGACGCCCATGGGATAGCTCAACAGGCCCTTATTTCTCTCGCATGTACAAGAGTAAAGTGTGCAAGGCTCATCAGCTGCACGCTCTTGGGTACTGCCTTTGTCTCCTTGGTGGAAGGTAGGGTGCCACGACCTCTGTGCCCTGCCAACAGAAGAACGGGAAGAGGGGCTAGGACCGTTGATTATCTTGTCTCGCCTTCCACACCGTGACATTCACTCTTGGTGGGGTCTTCCTGGCCATGCAGTAAATGAGGAAAGGCCTTGAGAAGTCAAGCGGTGTGTAGCCGGACACGGTGGTGGTGGTGATCACACCCAGATCTGCTTGCCTCCAAGGTCCGTGTTACGCAGCTCTACGCTACAGGCCAACAGAGGCAAGCGTCTGCACTGACCTACCTTGGGAGTGGCTAGGGCAGAAGTTCGCATCTCTCAGAGTGAAGCTGGGGCCTGAACTACTCTTTGTTTAAGGTCAGAAGTTATTTAGCTCATAGGCTGAAAATTGAGTTACTCTTTGCCTTTCCTCCCAGCTGGGAAACCCAGCGGTAAGATTCTATGCATGACCTAAACCAAGTTACCTTTGGGTCCAGTCAGGGGGACAGAAATAAGCGAAGTGTTTTGATGTTCGTGTAAGGAGCTGGATAAAAAGGCACAAGGATTGAAGAGGTAAAGACCCAGAAGTGACCTCAAGCTGTGAGGCCTAGACAGAAAGGAGGGTGTCATCAGAACATGGAGCTGAAAGAAACTGGTCCGGCTGGCATTGTGGCACGGTGGCTTAAGCTACAGCCTGCAGTGCCGGCATCCCACATGGCTGCAGTAGCCAGGATCATGCTAGGCTAAAGCCAGGAGCCAGGAACTCCATCTCAGAGCCACATGGATGGCAGGAACCAGGTTTGTGCCTCTGTTGGCCTTTGGCATAGAGGCAGCCCGTTCCAGTTGGCGTTTGGGTGAACTCCGAGGGGCCTTGCTGTCCTGGACAGTGGATTCTTTGGGTGTGTCTGGCATGCTCTCGTGCTTTGTACTCTGGGTCATTTGGGTGGTTGCGAGTGCAACGTGACTGCCTGTAAGGAGCTGGAACAGGGTTCTGTTTGTCAGGATGTTCAAGGAGAGACCGCAGGGTGAAATTGCAGCACAGGCCGACGGGGGATGGAATCAGCTGCCCGCAGTCACAAGAGCCGTTTGAACATCCTCTGAGGCTCCTTTACTGTCGGAAGAGTACTCCTGAAGGGAAAACACTGCCTGGGCCATTGGAGGCCTGGGTCTGGCTCACACTGCAGTGCTCACTTGCTGGTGTCGAGGGAGTGTTCCTTGCTGTGAATGCCGCTTTTGGCACTTTCTTGCAGTGAAAACTTGTGAATTTTACCAGTCTCATGTCAGCTGCACAATGAATGTCATATTCTTTCCGGAAATTACAGTGAAGATGAAATGAAGCATATGTGGGTGGGCATTGTGGCACAGTAGGTTAAGCTACCACGTGAGTTGCCCATTTCCCAAACAAGCGTGATGGTTTGAGTACTGGCTGCCCTGAGTGTGATTCGGCTTCCTGCAAAAGCATCCTGAGAGGCAATAGATGATGGCTCAGTCATTGGGTTCAAATGGGAGACCCAAATAGAGTTCTAGGCACAAAATGGCCCAGTCCCGGCTGTTGCAAGCATTGGAGTGAACCAGTGGGTGGGAGGCCTCGTTCTCAGTCACTCTGCCTTTAAAACTGTTTTAAGATTTATTTTTATGAGGAAGGCAGATTTACAGAGAGGAGAGACAGAGACAAAGATCTTCTGTCCAATGATTCACTCCCCAAATGGCCGCAATGGCCGGAGATGAGTCGATCTGAAGCCCGGAGGCAGGAGCTTCTTCCGGGTCTGCTACGCAGGTGCAGGATCCAAGGCTTTGGGATGTTCTTGACTGCTTTCCCAGGCTACAGGCAGGGAGCAGAGTGGGAAGTGGAGCAGCTGAAACACGAACAGGTGAACATATGGGATCCTGACGTATGTGAGGTGAGGACTTTAACCATTAGGTGACTACATCGGACCCTGCTTTTAAAACTTTAAATTTTAAATAAATCATACATACTTGAAAAAGCATGCTTGGGGCCAGGTCTAATCCTAGCTCTGTCTTGAGTTAGCTCTGTGTGACTGTGGGCAAGAAATGTAACTGCTGCATCTATTCCCTCATCTGTGAGATGGGGGCATAGGTGCTGCTCAGTTTATACGATTGCTGTGAGAATTAAGGATGCTAATGCATGCAGAATATACAGCACAGCACCTGGTGGCAGCAGTTCAGTCAATGTTAATTTCCATTTCCTTTTGGGTGAGCTGAATTGGGGAAAATACTTTTTGTTGTTGTTGTCGTTACAACCAACTAATTAGGAGAAAGGATACTGCGGACTCAGTAAATACTCTATCCACACAAAGATCAGGTTATTTGGCAATTCCTGTGGCTGGAACTGGGTGCCTGGCAAGGTCAGTGAGCAGTACCCCTGTGGGTACACACCCGAGAGGCTTCTAGATAAGAATTTGTCTCTGTCTAATTGGAGCTGGAGGGTAGGGCATGACTCAGGGGCTCTGGGCCAGCAAGGTTCACACACGGAGAATGACTGATGTTTCATTCCAACTTTGTCTGTCTCTTGGACCAGGGCGGCGGGAATTGGCATACTCACGGTGATCCTGGCAGTTTTACTGCTCGTTGGCTGCTGGTATTGCAGAAGAAGAAATGGATACAGAACCTTGACGGTTGGTAGTTCCCACTGCTGGAAGCTTTGTAGATCCAGGGTTCTCCTTTCCATTCCTTTCTCTGATTTTCTGGAGCTTGGGATACAGTGCTCACCACCGTCTGTAGCTCTGATTCCTATTAAGGATGCATCTTGCACTTCTCCGTACTTCTTGTAGCTCTTCCTCTACCTCTCTGCCAGGGAGGAAACTTAAGGAGGAACTCTCCTTGTCTCATTGGTTCTCCTCACAGCAGCCTTGGGAACCCACCTGAAGGTTGCGTGTGGCTGAGCACTGATGGTCTGTGAGGGCCAGTGGAAGGATTGAGGTTCCTTGTGCAGCAAATAGCAGTATAGCAGACGCCTTGGACCTTACCAATCTTTTGGAAAATTCTGGCTAGTTCTGTTATCCACTTGGTGCCTACTCCTCCTGCCTTGCCTTTTCACGCCTTCCTTCTCTGGTTACCTGGGAATTCCAAGTTCTTGTGCTTACACTATACAGCCCAGGATATCCAACACGCCTCTAGAAATGGGCGCAATGAGAAAACAATCCTATCACCAGTATAAATTATTTGTTTTATATTTCTACTTAATTATTTTTTGAAGGGAAGATACAAAGGGGAGAAAGAAAAGGGGAGAAGGGAGAAAGAAACATTCTATTCACTGGTTTATTCCATTTGTTCACAACAGCCAGGGCTGGATCCAGAATCCAGCCAGGCCTCCTGTATGGGGTACAGGAACCCAGGCGTTTGAGTCATCACTGCCCTGACATTTGCTCCAGAGCACACATTTTCAGGAAGCTGGATTCAAAGCAGAGGAGCTGGGACTTGAGCAGGCACCCCTCTAAGGAATGTGGGGGTCCCAAGCAGAGACTTCATCACTGCACCAAGCACCCATCCTGCTCAGTCTCCCTCCTCCTTGGGGGTGGGGGTTCCGTGCGGTTGTTGAACGTTCTTCCTTTACCCACACCAGCAGGAAGCTAACCCAATGGCAATCCAGTCTTTGGGCACCAGGATCTCCCATGAGTGGGACGCTTCAGTTTAGTCCATAAACTATAACATCAGGCTTTAGTAACTCTACTTCAAAGCCAAGAAGCATTTCAGCACATGAGCGTACAAACCATCCTCTCTAGTGAGCAACAGAAGGAAAGAACGTTGCAATTCTCTGTTGTTCTCATTCCTGACCTGAAAGCATTCCAGGTTAATGAAATGTGAGGGGTGGCCGGGGGTGGGGAAGGCTTTTCCCAAAAGATGTGAAGTCCTATTCCACATTGAGCAAGCATTTCATTTGGGGATGGCAGTAGTCTATTGAGATGGCAAAAGGAGAAATGCAACTCTGGATTCTTTTCTTCGCTGCCAGGAGGGGCGGGCGATCTCTCATGTCTCTTGCCAGAAGAGCCGGCTTGTGGGCTGCCGCACCCACTGACCACGCTCTGCAGTGCGCGGACGGTTCCGGGAAAGCAGGGGGCGCTGCTGAGTGGACACAACTGGCTTAGGAAGTTGGGCAGGAGGGTCTGTCCCTGATGCCTCTCCGGAGTTCACCAAAGCTTAGGAGGGGAGAGACGTTTTCTGCAGCTATTTTTGTGAGAGAGATTGATCAAACCTGTCTTTGTCTGGTTTTTGTGTGTTAGGATAATGCTGCCCTCACAGCATAATTGAGGAAGTCTCCCCTCTTTCTATTATCTGCAAGTGAATTTACAGAATTAGCACAGTTTCTTCCTTCAGCATTTGGTAGAATCCATCAGTTAACTCGCCTGGCACTGGTACTTTTTGTTTTAAAAAGCCATACATTATTGACTTATTTTTTTATGATAGACATTTTTTTATGGAGTAGTAAAATATTTCAACACATACATAGCATGTGAACTAACCAGATAGTAACTAGTTTTTCCATTGCCTTACCTGTTCTGTTTGGGTTGACTAGCTCCTTTGGTTGTCCTTTTTTGTACGGTATGTAATCTTATGGTAGCTTAACTATGCTATGAAATATTAGAACCTGTGACTCCTGGCTGATCTTTGCTTCAGTACCTGCTTTGCCACCCTTCTCTTTCTTCCTTCTCCATTTTCCAATCTCTCACTTCAGATGGACTAATTTTTCAAAACTTGCAGAAGAGAGAGAACATATTTATGTTTCTGTCTGGCTTATTTCACTTAATCTCTTCCATGTAAATTGCTGTAAATATTAGAATTGCATACAGTTTTTGGCCAAATAATGTTTCATTGCGTATATATACCATATTTTCTTTTCCATTCATTGACTGATGGGCACCCAGAGTGATTCCATATCTTGACTATTGCGAGTAGAGCAACATATGAGATGTGCAGTGAGTACAGGTATCGCCCATGCAGACTGCAGTTTATTTAGATACATACTTAGAATACTGAATTGTATACCAGATGTTTTTAGCTTTTTGAGAAACTGCCATACTGTTCTTCATAATGGTTGCACTTATTTATATTCCAAACAGCAATGTATAGAAGTTCTCTTTTCACCGTATCCTAACATTTGTTTTTGACAGTCATTCTAGCTGGAGTGAAATCCCACTTTTTGGTTTTTTGTTTTCTTTTACTGAATGCTTCTTGTTTGTTTTTTTGAGATGATCACATGATTTTTACCCTTCCTTCTGCTGATGCGGTGTATCAATTTGCATATGACGAACCGTTCCTGAATCTCTGGAGTCCCATATGGTTATGGTGAATGATTGCTTTGATACATTCTTGGACTAGACTTGCAAATATTTCATTAAAAATCTTTGCATTTATGTTCATCAGAGATGTTGTAATTTTGTAATTTTTATTGCTCTCCTTTCTGTTTGGAATCCAGGTAATGCTGGCATCATAGAAGCAGCTGAGCTGGCAGTAGGGGTGTCTATTATTTCTGTTGTTAATCACCGATCCTCTCTCAACTGGGGCATGAAAAAGAGCCCTAATTTTTTTTCCTTGCGGATTCATGTGGATGATGTGCTGTTGTAAGTTTCATCCTCAACATTGCTGGGTCACTCCTTCAAATATGTTAGTAATTCACACACTGATTTTTACGAGGTACCGTCCCTTTAAACTTCATAAACTTCAGTGATGCTGCCATTTTTCCATCCAAGCATTACTATACATTTCATTTTGACTTTGCTTCAAATTTAGCAGAATTCGTGTTGCCCTGATAAGGACTTTTCTCAAGCCAATGTCATACCTTTATTATTTTCTTGAACTAGTTGCTGTTTAGGTAAGTTATAAATAGTATTTGTTTTGGTGCAAAAAAGGGAAATCCTTGCAGTTTGTACACATTTTACATTTCCTCTTGCATTTATTTGTAAACTTGTCTTTCAAAGTGTCTTTCTTGTAGACAACACATAGTTCTTCAATCTGTTTTGTGATCCGCTCTGATAATCACTGCTGTTCAACCAACATCTATAAGTTGGTATTTATTGTATTTGTTAGTGCTTTTGTTATTTTTTAATTCCTAAATTTGGTTTTCACTTTTTTTGGTCCTAACAGAACATTTTTTATGCTTTGATTTTCTCTTTTATCTTGACTATGTTTCTTTTTTTTTAATAAATGTTGAAAGCAGTTTTCTCTTGAGTTTGTATAAGTATATTGACCACTAAACCAAGCCCACTTTCAAGTTACACTGCCAGTTCACAAGGAGTGTGAGTCGCCCATGATGATAATCCTGTCCTTTCCCTTACATCATTGCTGCAATGCCCGCAAGAGTATGAGCATGCTTACACTGTTGCTGTTATTTTTTAACAAACTGCCTGCTAGATTAACAAAGGCAAGTTTCTTTTACCTTCACTTGTTCATTTATGTAGATCTGCATTTCTGACCTATATGTTTTTCATCTAACAGCTACTCTTAATATTTCTTGCAACACAAGTCTTCTGGCAACAGGCACCCTCGATGTCTGAGGGAAAGCATTCACCCTTCATTTTTGAAGGATACTCTTACAAGAGGCTCTTGTTGTAGAAGTACTGTTCCCCTTCCCTTCAAAATACTAACTATGGGTGCCAGGTACTGCACTTCACCTTCAGTCCCCACAACAACTCCGAGAGGTTATCTTCTTAAAACAGAAGCAAAACCTGGGACTGGGCGAGAAGGTGACTAGCCTGAGGACACATGGTAAACAAATGGAAGAACCTAGATTAAAATTCCACCGACAAAGGATGGGTTACCCCCCCTCCCCATTACTGGACTGTTATTTCTGCCGGCCAACTCACATTTATGAACTTACATTTCAGGACAAAAGCCTTCAAGTTGGTCTTCAAAGGACCGTAAAAAGAACAGTCCCACACGAACAGCCTGGACGTCAGGACAGCAACCTGGTCTTTCAAGAGAAAAATTGTGAACGTCTGGTAGGTTGAGAACCTTCATTCTAGAAGTTTTCTTGTATGGTGGCTTTAAATGCAATTCAATACAATTATCTCCAATTAAAAAGCAAGAATGACATGAATGTAGTCAATGCTACAGAATTATGTACTTCAAATGGTTACATAACACATTTGATGTTATGTACACTTTGCTGCAGTAAGAAGTCAATAAATACTATTTTTAGAAACAAAGATTTTTTTAAATTGTGTCCTCTCACATTCAGTTTTCCAGGGTTAATAATGAACACCCAGCTTCTATGTTCTAGAGGAAGAACTTGGCTCTGCATACAGCATCATTTCTTAAGTTCATTTTACATGGAGAGTTATGTTCATGCATTATGTAACCACTGGACACATGTTGCTTTGAATTATCATAATCATAAATTAAGATGTGCTGTAGTAATACTGTATATGGGAAATAATATAGATATTTCATTAACGAATTTTATATATAAGATTATATCAACATACTGAGTGAAATATTGTATTAATTTTACTTATTTCTTTTTAGTCTTTAGGAGCAGCTATTAGACATTTTAAAAAATCTTAAAAATTTTTGAGGTAAAAATAAAGACATTGAGCCTATTCCTACCTGTTAGTTCACCTCCCACTAGCTGGTTCAGCTGCAACAGGCAGGGGTCAAAGCCAGAATCCATCAGTCCAAGTGGGAGGAACCTAGTTGTGCCATCACTCTGGTTCCTAGGGTCTTTATTAGTTGGAACGAAGGGTCTGAGGCACGCATCAAGTCCAGGCACTCTGATATGACAATAAATCCCAGCCAGCCGTTGGATGGTCAAATCACTGGCCCTCTGCATGTGAGACAAGCATATCCCAACTGGCAGTTTACCAGCCAGGTCCAATGTCTGTGTTACATCTCTGCTGGACAATGCCAGTGCAGATGCATAACGGTTGAGTCCTGCCTTGAATCACATTGTCATATCTGATTCTTATCTTGTGAGTCACTAGCTGCGTGTGACCGTGGGCAAGTGACCTGATTTTTCTGGGCCACTCTGTAACTTAAAATGGAGAAAGTACTCCTGAAATTAGAAGGACCAGACAAAGGCTTGGCAGACTCACAGTTATCACCATGCCTTTTGGAAACAACTGCAAGGATCCGTGTGGCCAAGAGGCAATGTTTAATTGGTATCTTTGACCAGCACTTATGAATCTGTCAGGGTTTGGGACTTTGGACATGGATAATTCAGGGGCTAAACAAGCTTTTGAGGTTTGGATCATATTTTTCTCTCCTTTGTCTCAATAAAGATTCAACGGGGACATCTGTGAAACTTAACAATTACTGTAATGAGTGGAAAGTAGATATGAACGCTTACAGAAGTATGCACATGATATGCAGCTTTTATGTAACCCCTCCTCAAAAACATAGTCACTGTTGCCAAGCTTGTACTCTTTCTCATTCTCACAGGTTCCCAATGCTCCACCTGCCTATGAGAAAGCCTCTACAGAACAGTCACCACCACCCTACTCACCCTAAGATCCAGCAAGGCACCTGAGAAATGCTCAAATGATTTCCCTAATACTTTTGCTTGACATTAATTATAAACATCTTTTGCTTTGGAATGCTGTAACAGCAACCCACACTTCTAATCATTGGCCAATACTGAATTTCTTACTATAGCAACTAGCAGAACTAATCGAGTAAGGAAATTATAATGTTAACACTGTCAATAAACATTGCAACAAATACCACCTGTACCAATGGTAATGCTAATACATTTATGCTGTTATGTTCTTGAGAAACAGACTTGGATGTTTTATGGCCATCTGACTCTTAATCAAAATTTGGCCAATAAGGGGAATGTTGCTGTCAAGACTGTTGAATAATCAATCTTTTTTAACCGGAATGAACTGTATTCAGAAATGTTGCAGGTGAGTCTGCTATGGAGTAGTGCTCACACAAGACACCTCTACAGGCTGAAGACAAAAAGCTGATGAATGTGTACAGCCCATCAAGAAGAGATCAGCGATATCTTTCTGTTCTAAAATTCTATACTAGAATAATCCACTGTGAAGACCTTCTCTTGAAGCAATACACATATGAAGGGTCTTCAAGATGTTTGTGGGAAATAAGTATCATTTTAAAAATATGCATAGATTTCAAAACTTCTGGACTAAAATATCTTTCAATTCCATTTCCCCCTAAACCTTTTGAAGTACCTTCATAATGCATTTTTTAATTACATTTCACCTCAAGGTTCAATATTATCATGACAAGAATTTTGTTAAACTATAAAGTCGTAGAAGGACTTATGTAAAAGCTATTGTAGAGTTTGGCTGTTGCTGCTGTATTGCCTGAAATGTTCCTATAGCAATTTAGCTCCTTAGGACTCCCAAATTCTTCTCATAAGCACAAAAAAGAAATTGAAAGGATCAGAAGGTCTAATTTTTTTTTTTTTGCAAAGCAATACCACATGTGCACGCGCAAACACACACGCGCGCACATCCAATCTATGAAACCATACTGGAAAGGGTACCTGCCTTCTTTTGAGATGACATAGTTGATGGCAATTTTGAAGTGAAGAGGGCGTGGTGCTGAAGTCTTGGCCTTGCATGCTCTGGGATCCCATATGGGCAGCAGTTCTAATCCCAGCAGCCCTGCTTCCCATCCAGCTCCCTGCTTGTGACCTGGGAACGCAGTCGAGAACAGCCCAAAGCAGCCATTTGGGGAGTGAATCACTGGATGGAAGATCTTTCTGTCTCTCTTCCTCTCTGTATATCTGACTTTCCAATAAAAATAATTTTTTTTAAAAAAGTGAAAAAAGATAAAAATAAAAACAATGAGAACCTCCAGATTACCAATCAAAAGTCACTTTGAAAAAACCCAACTGATGGCATGAAAAGTTAAGAAAGTCTCCTGAATCACCAACAGTTCAAATGAATGTTCTCAAATTAAATAAGCATCTTGTAACCTGAAAACAGTTTGAAACTTGGGTTTCAAAGACTTGCGCTCCAACTTCAAATACTGCCTGAATAAAATCAACACCTTATTGAGTAAAGTTTCAGAAAACAAGCCAAGGGAATTTACTGCCTAGAAATCAACAAGAATCTGCCCAAATCTATAAACACGTAAGTGGTAAACATCAGAACTACAACTCCTACAGAAAGAAGCCCCGAGAGTCTTGGAAGGAAGCACTTCCATTAACTGGATCGTCCTCCATGAGAATTCAAGAAAGTTGGCTGGCATTTTAGCTGAGAAAGCTTACCACGTTTAGGGAAGAAAATTCTCACGCACAAAATTGGTCCAGTTAAAATTACAGGTTTTCCCAAGAGGCACCTGTTCTACACACAGCTTTGAGCACAAGCCCGGATCTAGGGAAACCCCTGGATGACTGTCTCTCCAAGGAAGGCAGGCACATGCTGAGAGCCCAGGCACCTGTGGCACCTGCAGGACTGATTCAAGTTCAGAGAAATCAACTCTGACTATTCACCTGGAGGACATCCAGAGGTTTTCTCTCTTTTCACTTTTCTTTTTTTTTTTTTTTTATGTTATTGGAAAGGCGGATATACAGAGAGGAGAGACAGAGAGGAAGATCTTCCATCCGATGATTCACTCCCCAAGTGAGCGCAACGGCCGATGCTATGCCGATCTGAAGCCAGGAGCCTCTTCCGGGTCTCCCACGCGGGTGCAGGGTCCCAAAGCTTTGGGCCGTCCTCGACTGCTTTCCCGGGCCACAGGCAGGGAGCTGGAAGGGAAGCGGGGCCGCAGGGATTAGAACCGGCACCCATATGGGATCCCGGGCGTGCAAGGCGAGGACGTTTAACCACTTGCGCCACCGCGCCGGGCCCTCTTTTCACTTTTCATAAAGACCATTTGTATCAGCACTGTAGTTAAAAAACAAAGCTGTAAAGACAACATGTTTACTTCAATTTTGGCATACAAAACAAACAAAATCCCCAACTAAATCTATTAGCATTATTAGTATTAAATTCATAGAATGAAAGGCAAAACTTGGCTCATTATATTCTTTGCTACCTAAACATTTTAAAATTTTATGAAAATTGAGTTATTCCTTATAAAAATTATTTCTACCCTTCTCAACTGATGCTCAATATCTTCACATCCACCTGGCCACTTAATATCCTCCTGACTGGCTGTCTCTAGTCTGGTGAAAAGGCACCTTCCATATTAATTTAGAATAAATTTTAAATTCAACACACACCCCCCCTTGTGCTAGTTGCTGGAATGACAATGATGATGGTTGACAAGGTCTTCAAGAAAGATAATAGGCACTGGACACTTCATATAATTACAGTTGTAAAGGAGTGCTAGGTCCTTCTCAATCTATGTATCCGCTGCAATCTATGAATGTCTACAATAATGTGGTGCTGGTTGATGTACGATAAGAAATACATAGCACAGAAGGGGAACCTGTAATACAGCTGTAAATTAGAGAGGGTATCAGGGATGACCATGATGTGTTCTTGATTTATAGAAATTCAATGAAGGGCCCAGCACAGTGGCCTAGCAGCTGAAATCCTTGCCTTGAATGTGCTAGGATCCCATATTTACGCTAGTTCTAATCCCAGCAGCTTCAATTCCCATCCAGCTCCCTGCTTGTGGCCTGGGACAGCAGTGGAGGACGGCCCAAAGCCTTGGGACCCTGCACCGTGTGGGAGACCCAGGAAGAAGTTCCTGGCTGCTGGCTTTGGATCGGCCCAGCACCAGCAGTTGCGGTCACTTGGGGAGTGAATCATCGGATAGAAGATCTTCCTTATTGTCTCTCCTCCTCTCTATACATCTGCCTTTCCAATAAAATTAAAAAAAAAAAAAAAGAAAAGAAAAAAAAAGAAGAAAAAATTCTACTACCCACTACCTGGATAGCCTTGAATGTGTCACTTAACCTATCAAAAATACTCTGAAAATCAAAACTGATATGTGAAAGAAGAATGAGTAAACCTCAATGCCTGTACCAACGCTATCAACACAAACTGTGGCTTTTCTTTTCGTAAAGGGCTGCCCTCACTTATTGCATGCATTCTTTCAAGGAAACAAGGTTATACTTCAAAAATGGTTTTCAAACAAAGAAATATGGCAACTCAGTTTATTACATGCAGATTTTTTTCTGCATTGTTGCTAACAGTTCACTGGTCCAAAATTACTAAAATACTTAAAAAACTATACATTATGTAAACAAAACATAAATAAGACAGCATAGTTCTTTGTACATAGTTCTTAGTACAGGTTGTTAGGGATTTAGGAATATGTACAATTTTACACCATGTACTGCATTTTTCACAATGCATAAATATATATATATATATACCTTTTTTTACAGAAAAAAATAAATTTCACTCATGACACAGAATACCATATTGTAGATACGCTGCAATAATCCAAATTCAAGAAAAAAAAAGTCAATGTCAGTGTGCAAAAGGCTAGCTTACTCTAAATTAGTCAAACTTGACATTGTTCAAAATATCTATACAGGCAGGTAAATCCTGACCCTGTACTTTTTAAACAAAGAACCACTGAAAATATCTTCATACCAACAAGTGAAATGGAACAGATTTGGCCCTGCCTAAGAAACCAAAGCCTTGTACACAAGCTAACAAAGAGATACATCAACACACACACACACACACACACACACACACACACACACACACACACACTATGTATAGTATGTTTTCAACAATATAATAAACAGTTTAATTTGTATGGGATTCAAAACAATGCCCCATTTTTTAAAAAACTGGCTCGTTCAACCTAAATTCAAGATGCAGCTGTGTCAGGCTTCTCTAAACCAGGTGACTGAAAAGCAGGGAAGACAGAAGCAGGATTTCGAGTGGCAGACACAATTTGAGAAAGAGAAGAAGAGCGTGAAGAAACCTTAGATGCTGGAGTATTTATGGTATTTAAAATGGCTCCTTCTGGGCTAACCAATAATTTTTTGACAGATGTGTCCAAATGAAACACTGAAGTACTATTTGGCAGTGGAGTACTGGAGGAAATGGCAGGTACCAAAGATGTCTTAGCCAAAATTGTAGTTGGAGAAGACTTAATTCCCGAAGTCAATGATGCCGTCGTGGCAGGAGGTGGGACAGAAAGTTTAGTAGTTGTGTTTACACTCTGTGGTGTTGTACGTACTGTGGGGAGAGAAGTTATATTTCCAAAAGAGTTTACAATTTTTGTAGAGCTCCTTAGAGGATGTTTTACAGGTTGCTCACTTGAATTATTTGATGGTAGTGTGATCTTCTGGGCAGGGTTATCCACTTGTATGGGCTGAATGCCTTGGCCACTGTTAAGTACTAAAGGAGGTCCATATTTTGCATTTGTAGATATAAGAAGAATGTGACTGCCAACTCCAAGACCTTGTGGTGGAACAATAAACCGGGTTCCATTAATCATGATTTGAGTACCAGGTGCCAAAGGTGTATTGGTGTTGATGATAATTTTTTGCTGAATACAAGGTTCACTACTGACGTGAGCCCCTACCAAACTAGGCACATTTGGTGGTGCTGTAGCAGTGTGAATGACAGAACTACCTGGAGCAGAACTCTGACTG